ATATATATTATGCGTCTAGAAAGTGTATCATGATACAATAACATTATTAAATAAGCGAGCTCGAGTAACTTTTGGCACGAAGCACATTAGCACGACAATGTCACGACATTGTTTTATGTTATTATGTATGTTTTATAAATTATATTGACTTTTTATAATATACTATCTTTTTCTTAACAAGTTTTTATCTCACTTGAATTTTTACTTGGTAAGCCTTGTTATGTTAAAAATTAATGTTTCTTTTTGTGCATGTTTAATTCTTATTTTTCTTATTTATTTATAATTTTGTTATTGGGCATGATAAGAATATAATCAAAGTATGACACAAATTTAAATGGATCGTGAGTCAGGCCTAATGTCAAACTTATGTCATAAACGGTCTGGCATGAACTGCCAAAATTATTAGAGTTGTTACATAAATGCCTATTATGAGCCTCTTGTGTCTAAAAATGTCTATTTTTTTTTTGTTTAGTTACAAAACAATTCACTATCACATATATAAAGACAATTATATCTTCATATAATGAAAAAAAAAGAGGAAAAAATGATTAAAGAACAAAGTAGGTAAAAAAATTGGAAACAAATATAGCAAAATCAGCAACTAAACACAAAAGTAACACCTAAATATTAATCAAAATCAGCATTTAAAAAGAAAAAAAATCAAAATATCTAATTATTACATTTGAAGAACCCTTAATGTTTTTAAAAAGAGAAAGTCAAAAGATAAAAGATAAGGCATAATGAAACTGTAATATTCTTAAAATGAGTATTTTTTAAAATAAAAAACGTTATGACCAAAAACATCACTTCCCTTATAGACGTATTAATCCCCACTTTATTGAATACATTCATTAATAAAATGAATACGAAATTACAATAAAGATTTGTACGATAATGACTTATTCACTATGAAAATGAATGCATATATTTTGTTTATAAAAAGAATATTAGGAGTGCATAAGGATAATGAATGTATGATTTCCACATGAGAATGAATGTATATGTAATTTTTTATAATTAAATGGTTTAAATGATTGTGTCGAACAAGTTTCGAGTTCATTATAACTAGGATGTTAACATTGTAAAGAAAAATAATGAGTTGAAAGCTTTTCATTAACGTATTTACATCCTCATTGTAATAATGAAAACAGAATTATAACTCATGTTATAAACATGAGGTACAAGTGATCAAATCTTGAAAAAATTCATTACCAAATATATTGAAAAATTAAAATAATGATATTGAAGAAAAAGGAGTGAATACAATGGGATAATGACGAAAATAATAAAAAATAAAGGTTTTATGATAATGACAAAATACAAAAAGTCTTACATAAAGTCACAAAAATATTTCCATTCAAAAAAAAAAAAGACTCCAAAATATGAATACTAGTAAAAGAAATTTTAAATATGTACAACAAAATGTGAATACAAGTATTATCATAAAGAATAGAAGTTTTTGTGATGATAAAAAAATATCAAAACTATCAAAAATAAAAATATTCTACAATATCATAAACCCGAATAGAAATTGTGTGGAAACATGAAAGAAAAATGAAAAAAAAAAAAACACAAGCAAAAAAGAAAAAAAAAAACAAAAACAGGGGTAACGTACCAGTAAACCAAATGCTATCAATGAAGAACCACAAAGAAAGATGAAAAGCAAGCATACAAAAACATCTCATGGCATTAGTAGTCCTCTTAAAAGGTTTTGTTTTCAAACAAAAAAAAAAGGCCAAAAAAGTGCAACGTACCTGCAAATCAAATGCCCTCAATGAAGAACCAGAAGCAAAACCTTATTACAAACTGTAATTATAAAACGGTGCAAATCGTCAAAAGGAAAATGCGGTGCAAGTATGGTGCTGAGAGAGAAGAAAGATAAAAATGTTATTCACAATTCACCAAAAATAAAAATAAAATAAAAATAAAAATAAAAATAAATAAAATAATTACTTGCAGTCAATTTTTAGAACTAAAAAAGAAAGTAAATATGTGGAATATTATGAGAAAAAAAAAAACAACCAGATTACATAAAGCAAAAATTATCCATATATAGATGGAACATATACCAAAATAAGTTATAAGGACATATCCGATAACATATATGTCTTATTTAGTATTTTTATAATATTATATAATAATTGATATTTTTAAAATTAAGGCTTCAACCATAGGCATTTCATATAATTACTTTATTAGTAAATTATTAATGAATCAGCATAGACATGAGCTGCGACAATAATGGATTAGGCTGTCACAATACAGTCCATTTGACATCTCTAGGGTGAAACGTTGTGTAGCTGAATAGTGAGATGCTATTATGAGATGGATTACAAACCTAGATATTCTAAAATAAGGCTCATGGGAAGAACTAATGAGACTTTAAAATAAATAAAGAAGGAAAGGAAGAAAGGACACACGTGACCAAAATTAATGTTTATTACTTATTAGCAATGCTACTCCTAAACTATGAGTATTATGATATTTTATCTCCAAACTTTTGTTTTGTAGTTTACTTTATGAACTTTGTTTTTTAAGTCGTTTTCGTCCTAGACCATAAAAGTTGATGACATATTTATGTAATTTAGCAAAAGGTAACTGTCACGCTCCCCAAATGGGGTGGGTGACGTGGAACTCGATTTGGGATTAATAAAGCAGATTCCCAACCGGGTCCCACTCTTAGCTGCACTAAAATATAAACAAACAGGGTAAAACCCCGTGTACACCGGTCGACCGGTGACAGAGAAGTGCATCACCACCAGTCGGCCGGTGGTGTGCATCCGGTCGACCGGACCGGTCGGCCGGTGGCCATAACA